ACACATCATAGCTGTGAACACATCATAACCGTGAACACATCATTAGTGTGAACACACCATTAGTGTAAACACATAGATTAAGCGACGCCATTGTGGGGCGCTGTTGTGTTTGATAAGGCTTAGTAGCGATGATCAGTTGAAGAACCGCTTGGTCCTAGCTGTGAACTCGTATTCGTTTTTGCTTGTTACCGCCATGAATACGTGGTTCTTTGCTCGAGAGCCTCTTCGGGGCGACACAGCTATGGGAGGCTCTCTGCCGCAACCCATGTGACCTTATCAACACAAGACATCTCCCAAACGGAACTTGGAAATAGCGGTCTATTCGCCGTAATGTAACCATGTCCCTACACAGGGGAAAGGGCTTACCAGGCCACACTGCCTCCATGGACACATCCCTCTACAGTAAAAAGGCCTCACCAGCCCACACTGCCTCAATGGGCATATCCCTCGACACGGGAAGAGCTTACCAGCCCACACTGCCTCGATGGGCATATCCCTCTACAGGGGAACAAGGGCTCACCAGCCCACACTGCCTCGAGGGGCATATCCCTCTACAGGGGAACAAGGGCTCACCAGCCCACACTGCCTCAATGGGCACAGCCCTCTACAGGGGAACAAGGGCTCACCAGCCCACACTGCCTCAATGGGCATATCCCTCTACAGTGGAAAGGCCTCACCAGCCCAAACTGCCTCAATGGGCATATCCCTCGACACGGGAAGAGCTTACCAGCCCACACTGCCTCAGTGGGCATATCCCTCTACAGGGGAACAAGGGCTTACCAGCCCACACTGCCTCAGTGGGCATATCCCTCTACAGGGGAACAAGGGCTTACCAGCCCACACTGCCTCAGTGGGCATATCCCTCTACAGGGGAACAAGGGCTTACCAGCCCACACTGCCTCGATGGGCATATCCCTCTACAGGAGAACAAGGGCTTACCAGCCCACACTGCCTCAATGGCATTATTCCTCTACAGAGAAAACGGGTGTAGAAAGCCAGAGTACCACCATTGCTAGTAGGAACAGTATCGTCACAAGTTCTGCAACGGAGGTACCCCTTAACGACTTCACCTGTCACCGGCCGGTCGGTCATCATCTCGGTCCACCTGACAACGAAGTCACATTATCGGAGAACACGAAGAGAACACAGCATTCTCTCAAGAATAGTGAGCGACACCATCAAGATGCCATCTATCTTACCTCTCATAGAGCGAAACCACAGGATGGAGACTGATACCACCAGCCGAGTGGACAAGGGGACAAGGATAAGGAGAGTCAGACAACAACACCAGCAGAAATGGAAAGCTCCCTCCGACCAATTCCGACACAAAGACCCAGACCACCGATAGAACCAGTAGCAGAAATCAGTTACTTATCGGGAAAGGAGGATAACAGCAGCTCAAACACTGTCAACTGCAACAGCAACCATACTAACTGTAACTATGATTAGCTGACTATCATGGCACGAAGTTGATCATGACTGAGCCGTGACTATCAACACAACAACAAGACTTCCACAGACTTAGTCGGTACTAGCGCAAGAGCCGACACCACTACCTAAATACGAGAACATTGCAAAGCGATCCACAATCCTATACGATTAGGTTCATCACAGATTCCTATCAAACGTTTTCGTGAATGCTAGACAGCGAACACACTAGCTGAAGTGTTGCAACCACTTTCGCGCGCCACCGCTGCAGGCCTGGAGTGAATATCAACAAGGATATTTATTTGTAAGAGAATTCCTCTCGAGAACAATTGCAATAGAGAATTCCTCTAGAGAATTCCTCCTTGCATCGCATCAAGCCCGACCCACCACTACTGTCAACACCACAAGATAGCTCTAGTAGAAGAAACTGGACAGTACTCAGGAAATTCTCACTTCCGCTGCGACACGTTTGATCTCCCTCAGCTGCTCCTCCGAGGGCTCCTCAGCTGGGGTCTCTTCCTAGCCTTACGACCACCCTCAGCATTGTCTCGTCCCCGACACCTGTCATCTCGCGGTCCCAAAGGCCATCGGGGCCGCACTTCGACGAACTTCTCAGCCGATACGGCAGTGCAGGGCGCACGCTCGTACAGACCCT